CGAAGAGGTGCAATTGAGTGGCCCCCTCGGTCACCCGACTTAAATCCTTTAGATTTCTTTCTCTGGGGGCACATTAAAAGCAAAGTTTACAGCACTCCACCTGATACCTTGGAAGATCTGCGAGGACGAATCATTAATGTATGTCGCGAAGTAACACCGCAAGTGCTCCAGAATGTTCGACAACGGTTTGAAGACAACCTGTATCATTGTATGCAAGTTGGCGGACAACATTTTCAGCATTTACTTGACTAATACCGTAAGTTTTGAAGTAAAATTAAATCGATTTTCGCATTTCTCGTCAAAAATATTGTTCGTATTTTCAAAGCTGCATATTTTCTAAAATAATGGATCGATTTTCAAAAAGTAAGAATCGATGTATAGAGAATTAAAAGCCCTTTCTAATGACCCCCAACTTGACCCTCATTCCCATTTAAAAAAATTTGGGGGATGGCACCCCCACTTAGGGGGTTGAAGATTTTGCTATACTTTTTGCGCCAAAAGTTGTCCCCCTCAGAAGCAAACTTTACCTGTTTTTGGATTTTGCCGAAAAGTCCATTACTACCCTGTAATGCCTTGCGGTACGTTTTCGATGGGCTACCCTGTATATTATATACAGATGGTTCCTCAGAGCAAAAAGATGGTAAACCTCAAAAGATCAGTAAAACTTAATATTTGGCACGTATGTACTTCTAAAATATTATCATTCCGGAATATTTTTGTAACTAGTACTATATTTCGCTGCAGGCAAAGGCGTTGTTAATTTAGAAACCCTAGCGAATTTTTCCATACTCTTCTTTCTCCAAAAAAACAATTCTCAACGTCACGTAGCTCTTACAAAAACTTATTTTTCCGTTATACTAATATCTGATGTTTCGGCAGAACCAGTCTCGCACAGCATTAATCGACATATCAACCCCCAAATCCACTTCAGCCAACCCTTATCAAAACCCACGCCCTCTGACCGCCGATCCGTATATTAAATTCTCGCGATTGCCGACGACGCTCTCAGAAGAGGAAAAAAGCTTCCCGGAACACGTCTCGTGGGCCGAGCGGCACCTCGTGAATGTCGTTGACTCAGCCTCGTCGTCTGGGAAGTACAGGAAACGCAGGAGACGCTCCAGGTTGTCAGCCGTTTCGGTGGAGCGACTCTGGAATGGGGACTTGAACCGCGTGTGTCGACGCGAGCCGCGGCACCCGCCGTGCGTTCGATTCGGCTCTTCTGCCTCCCGCGACGGACGCTCGTCAACTGGTCTCACTTCCACAA